TGGGCTTTTGTTTTTGGGGAGGTTTTTGATTACCATTTCAATTTCGCTGCTTGTTATTGGTCTGTTTAGGTGTTTAATTTCTTCTTTAGCTTTGGGTGATTGTAGAGTTGTAGGAATTTGTCCATCTCCTCTAGATTGTTGAACTTGTTTCCATATAACTGTTCATAGTAGTTTCTGATTATTCTTTTGATTTCTGCTGTGTCTATTGTGATTTCTCCTCTTTCATTTGTGATCCTGTTTATTTGTGCTTTCTCCTTTTTTTCCTTTGTGAGCCTGGCTAGGGGTTTGTCTATTTTATTGATTTTTTTCGAAGAACCAGCTCTTGGTTTCATTGATCTTTTGGATTTTTTTTTAGTTTCAATTTCATTTATTTCAGCTTTGTTTTTCATTTCTTCTATTGGTTTTGGTTTTTGTTTTTTTTTTGTTCTTTTTCTAGTTCTTTGAGCTTCAAGATTAGGTTGTTTCTTTGGGTTCTTTGGGTTGTTTCTTGATGTGAGCCTCTATTGCTATATATTTTCCTCTTATTACTGCTTTTGCTGCATCCCATACATTTAGGAAATTGGTGTCCTCCTGTCATTCAATTCAAGGAATTTTTTAATTTCTTCTTTGATCTCATTTGTCCAGTGGTCTTCCAGTAGTGTGGGTTTCAATCTCCATGAGGTAGGAGAGTTCCTTGTCTTCTTTTTATGGTTTATTTCTAGTTTGATGCCTTCATGGTCAGAAAAGATGCTTGGTATGATTTCAATCTTGGTGTATCTGTTGATGTTTGTCTTGGGTCCCAGTATGTGATCGATCCTGGAGAATGATCCATGTGCTCTTGAGATAAATGTGTACACAGATTTTTTTGGGTTTAGTGTTCTATAGATGTCTGTTAAGCCCAAGCGCTCTAGATCCTTATTGAGAGCTTTAGTGTCTTTACTTATTTTTTGTCTCGATCTATCCATTGTTGATAGTGGTGTGTTGAAGTCTCCCACTACGTATGTGTTTTCTCTGATGTCTGTTTTCAAAGATGATAATAGTTGTCTGATATATTTTGGTGTTCCTTCGTTTGGTGAATATATGTTAGAGTGTTATTTCTTCTTAAAGTATTGTCCCCTTGATCATAATGTAGTGACCGTTGGGGTCTCTTTTTACCTTTTCGAGTTTGAAATCTGTTTTATCTGATGTAAGTATAGCTGTTCATGCTTTCTTTTTTGGTCCATTTGCTTGTAGGATTGTTTTCCATCCTTTAACTTTGAGTCTATTTTTATCTTTTGTAGCTAAATGTGTTTCCTGGAGACAGCAAAAGGTTGGGTTTTGTTTCTTAATCCAGCCTGCGACTCTGTGTCTTTTTATTGAAGAGTTTAGTCCAGTTACATTTAGAGTTAATATTGATATGTTAGCATCTGTAGTTGCCATTGTGTTTGTCTTTCCTTTGATTTTATTTATTCTTTTAATAACTTTTTTTTTTTTTTGGCCTTCTTTCATTGTTATTCGTCCCCCTGAGGTTCTGGCTTTAGGACTCCTTGTAGTATTTTTTGGAGTGGGGGTTTAGTCGTAATGAAATTCCAGAGTTTCTGTTTGTCTGGGAAGGTCCTTATTCTTTCTTCATAGAGGAAGGATAGCTTTGCGGGATAGAGTTTTCTTGGAGTCTGTTGACTATGTCCCTCTACTCTCTCCTTGCCTGTAGTGTTTCTTTGGAGAAGTCTGATGTCAGTCTGATTAGTTTTCCTTTGAATGTTATCTGTTTCTTCCCTCTTGTCAGCTTCACTATTTTTTCCTTGTCTTGGCTGCTTGGGAGCTTTACTATTATGTGTCTTGCTGTATTTTTCCTTTCATCATATAAGTTTGATGTGCTTCTTGCTTCTTGTATATCAATTTTCAGCTCCTTCTTCACGTTTGGGAAGTTCTCTTCAGTTATTTCCTTGAATATTTTCTCTGTTCCTACATCTCTCACCTCTCTTTCTGGGATTCCTATAACTCTTATATTTCCTTTCCTCATGGAGTCAGATAGTTCCTGAAGTCTTTCTTTGGTCTTTTTCCTTCGTACTTCTCTTTCCTTTTCTGTTTTGGTTCTTTTTATTTCTGTGTCTTCAAGAGTACTTATTCGTTCTTCCATTTCATCTATTCTGCTTTCATTGCTTTTCCCAGAGTTCCTTAGTGCCTCCATTAATTCTTTGATCTCCTGCATTTCCTTTACTTCCCTCTTTAGGGACTCAATTTCATTCTTCTGAGCATTGTTTTCCTTAATGACTTCCATCAGTTTTTTCATCACGGCAATTTTAAATTCTTTTTCTGGAAGGCTCAGAAGTTCTTACAATTCACCGTAGTTGCAAGCTGGTGGGTGGTTTTTTGTTTTTTTTTTTTTTTTTTTTGGTGTGTCTTTTTTCTGAGGCGTTGCTACTTTGCTTGTAGTTTTTCTTTTCCCTGTTGCCTGTCTTCTAATTTGCCTTATGCATTGGGACACTGTGCCGCTGGTACTGGTGGCGTCTTTGGTGTGTTCTTTTGGGAGTTTCAGAAACTGGCAATCCTAATGAGTCAAAAACTGTTATGCCAGAAGTCTAGTGAGGCAGTGGTACTTTGAGTATGTTAATGGTCACTGTCACAGAATCTCTCCTCCTTCTGTGTTTAGTTACAAATGTGCGTCTTGAAGTCCCACAGACTTCCCTGGAGGTGGGGCAGCTGGATTGCACTCTGGGTTCCAAATCTCTGGATCCTCCTCTGGGCTCCAACTTCCTGCCAGGTGGGACTGGTCTTGTGGGGGCCTTCAGCTCACCTCTGAATGTGCAGGGAACCTTCTCCCACTAGCTCCACGGGGAGCCTTCTGCCAGTTTCAAGCAGTCTTTACTGAAGAAAGGTCCCTATTCTAAAATGGCGATTCAGAGACAGCACACTCTTCTGCACCCGGTCTGCCCCTGCAGTGGGTTCCCGCTCCCCCTCTGGGCCCCGTCTGCAGGTTTCAAGCAGTCTTTTCTGAAGAAAGGTCCCTGTTCTATAGGGTGTTGGTGATTTTTTTCTGGTCGCTAGGTGGCGCCAGAGATCTCTCCTAGTGTTCTTGGGGAGCTGTTTTTTTTACCCCGTGGGACAGGGGAACAGAGTGGTAGAGATGGGGAAAGCCTCAACGGCTTTGCGGTGCTGTGTCTGCCTCATGCCCCACCATCGTGGGGAACCCACGCCACGAATTTCGTGCCCCGGGTCTCAGTTCCAAAGCCCTCAGGTCCAGGACGCAGGCTGTAGCCCAGTTCAGTGTCCGCAGAAATGGCGCCTTTTGCACCCCACTTCCGTGTCTGGGTGCCTGGTTTCTGATTACTCAGTGAGGGACATTCACCTCAGTGAGGGCCCCCAGGTGTCTCCCCGCAAGCCTAGGACACATGCGCGGGGACCTGGGCAGCCGCGATCCGCGTTTGCTTTTCAAGCGCACAGCTTTTCTGCACAAGCTTATCGGCTGGTCCGGGGCTGTGTGCAGGTCTGGGGGGGGGGGGGTCTCTGTTTTTCTCTAATGGCACCTGGAGCCGTTTGCTCACCTCCGCAGCGAATCCTGCAGGGTTCTCCACAGCTCCAGTTCACAGGGTGTGATGGCTGAAATAGTTCCTTTCCACTTACAGTCCCGCTTGATCCGTAGTTTGTTCTTGTTGGTTGTTTTAGTTTTTTTGTCTTTTCCTCCTTTCTGTTGGTCGGAGAGTGCCGACTTTGTGGGTGGGGAAGGGTAGCAGGGTTCTGACCTTTCCTCCCTTCTACTCCTCTTTTATGGCAACTTTCTTCTTCAGGTAGTTTGCTGGAGTCGCCCATTTATCTTCCATGTCCCAGTTCTCACTGGGACCTGCTGCTTTTCCTCCCTATTAACTTTTTTTTTTAATGGGAGATCTTACTCGCAGCGTTTCCTCGCTGCCATGTTGATCCTCTATTTATTTATTTATACAAGCACTGGGTACAGTCAGAAGTGCGGGAGGTGAGAGAATTCACCAGAGCCAGAGCAGGGAGCAGAACAGGCAGAAGGACCGAAGTACACTGCTGAGGGGAGCAGTGGGCGGCAGGAGAGGTCTGTGCGCCATGTGGGACACTTGCCCGGCGGCCAGGGATCAAATCGGCGCTGCAGAGGCTGAGGGCAGCTTTGCAGCCCAGCGCTCAACCGCTGCGCCACCAGGGGAGGCCCTATTTATTTATTATTTTTTATTTTTAAAGATTTATTTATGTATATAAGAACTGGGGTACAGGCCAGAGGTGTGTGTGTGGGGTGGGGTGAGAGGATTCACTAGCGACAGTGGGGAACAGAACATGCAGATTGACTGAAATATACTGTTGAGGGTATCAGCAGGTGAGTCAGAAGAGGTCTGCTCTGCTTTTGAAAACACTTACATTCCAAATACACCTTAGGTAGCTCCCTGGCTGGGGATCAAACCTGTGCTGCAGTGGTAGCAAATAGCTTCATAGGTTGCGTCTTAACCCCTTGCGCCACAAGGGAGGCCTGTGACTGACAATTTTAAAAAGTAACAAATTTACTACTCTGATATATTTCTAATTTATGCCAAAGCTGGCGCTAAAGGATTTAAATAGAGAATTTATATGATCAGGAATAGGCTTAGCCTGATAAAATGTAATGTTCCAGATTTTAAACAAATTTATTATTAAAAATGTAGATATTTTATTTATCTTAGTCCACATTTGTATTATATTAGTTTTCTAATATACCTTGAGATCACATGTGCTGTTCAAATGGGAATTCTTTAAGTCTTAAGACATTACTAAGCGTCCAAATAATTTGAATTATAAAGTCAAAGTTGAGTATATGTGGTATGTGTGAGTAGCTTTTAGAATTTATTTTACTTATTGTTTTGTGAATACAGTCTTTATTATAAGCATATAAAGACATTTCTTCAGATGGCCACCAGAGAGCATTAGTAGAAAGGGTAAGAAAACAACTTTTCAGAAAACTACCTAAGATTTTAAGACTTATTTTCCTTTGTTTTTTATTCCTAAAACGTTTTACATGAATGCTGATGTTATTTTTTGGGACATGTAAGGATGAGAAATATTACTTACGGTCACTTGGAGAAGACCCTAGAAAGGTAAGAATCATGAATGTAATATAATTATTTAAAATTTAAATGGATATATGCTTTTTAACTGGGATTGAATTTTTATACTCATTGCCTGAAACATGTTTTGTTTTTTTCTTTACCATTCGTTTCTCTATTTGTATCCTTGCATAAAAGATTGAAACTTGATTATTTAGTTTTCAGGGAGGATCATAAAATCTTAGCATTTGAAGTCATCTCTAATTTGTACACAGTTAAGGAGTTCCTTCTGTATATATTACAGTTGTATATATTACAATTCTGTATATGTTAGAGTTGACCATTTAGCTAATAAAATATCTAAAATAATTATAAAAATTCTGAATAATTCATTATACAATCTTTAGGTTATATCAGAGTCAAGTTAATATGACTTGTAGTGTTAAGAAGTGGCCTGTAAAGAGAACAAATGAGATTGTGTTTTTTCCCCCATGTTACTGTTTAGTTCTTTACCTTCTTTTATTCTCCTCCCTCAGTAAACCCCAAAGGTTTTACATAGTTGGTAATGTTAAGTTCACATCTGAACTTAAAATACTTAATATTAGGATAGATGATAGTTGTATGATTCATCTTTTAAATGAACAGGAATCTATCTATTAATGAAACATATTAAGCCTAAGAGTGATATTGTTGTGTCTGAATCTTGTTATATTGTTATTTCTTCATTTGAGAGGGCATTTGTTGGTTGTAGTCATCTTACAGTATTTTAAAACAATAATAGCTTTGCCCTATTACTCTTTTATCAATGGGGTCTGATGAGAGCTCTCGATGAAATAAACATTATGCCAATATTGTATTTGTCGTTAAATTTTTTACTTTCCTGGTACTATTTTTAATCTAGTTTTTGAAGATTATGTTTCTCTTCATGCAGGATGTTGCAGATATCAGAAAGCAGTTTCCTTTATTGGAAGGAGATATTAAGTTTCCAAAATTCTTCAAAGAAGAACAGTTCTTTTCCAGTGTTTTTAGAATAAGTTCACCAGGATTGCAACTATGGACTCACTATGATGTATGAGCAATCTAAAGCTACAATAGATATTTAGCTTTTTTGATTTATCATTCACAGTTTCAACTTTCTGTAGAATACTGTAAAATCTTTGACATATTAATTTGCTAAAACATGAGTTTTGATAACTGACTCTGCACACAGAATTGGACTGAATTATTTAGCCAATGCTAAAACCTAATTTGTGTCTCACATTTGCATTTCACTGTGGTCTTGTTTTTGATTTATCATATATATGCTGTTTTATGAAGTAATTTTTTTTAATACATGAAAAATGGCCAGCAGACGAGGGGAAATTTTTTTTTTTTACGAGGGGGAATTCTTAAAAGTTGTGGCATGAGGAATGTTAAAGACAAAAGTTTATGGAGAGCCATTTCCAAACTTAAGAATTTGGGGTTATCCGAAAGTCTTAGGATATAAATCTCTTAAAATTGTATAATGTGTTACCTTTGTTGAGCAGCAAGATATATACAATATTGGTTTTGATCATTTACATAGTGATAACATTTTATTTGCTTAAGTATATGTGCACATATATACATAATTTTAAAACATTGAAAATCTAGTATTGTGTATGGTTTGGTTTGAGGTGGAGAAATTTAGGAAATTAAAGCAGTTTCTGAAAGGTTTCTTAAAAGTGAAAGAATTTTTTTAAGTTCTAAATCATTGTTTAATAAGTATTTCATAATTCAGCTGAGGACCTTTTGGGAGTATTTTGACATTGTAACTATAATTGAGCTTGACATAATCTTAGTATGTTGTTTTGTTAAGGGATTTAGATGAATGATGTGAAAAAAGATGTGATAAACATATTCTTAACTATGTTCTGTGTCTATATTTTAACTTTTTAAAAGTAGTATCCCTTTTATTTTTAATATTAATGGACTCATAAAGCTTTTCTTAAAAACGAGTCATAGGAATAGTAATTATATAGTTAAGGTTTACATAAGTAAAAGTCAGAGCTGAAAGGAGAAATGCTTAGGTAAAGTGATCATGAACATATCTTTGTATATATTTTAATTCCTTGCTGAGAATTATGTATCTCTTTCTTTTAATATGTTTCACAATGTATACCAACAAAGTAGACCCTTGCGTATACAGGAAAAGTCAGTATTAAGAAAATTTGCTAGGTTAAATTTCTGTAGAAATAATTGGGAGATCAAGATACCTATAATCAAATTATGGTTGGCATTTATTAGAGTGACAACAGTGGTTGCTGCAATATGTTGTATGTTCCCAACACCTAACTTTCCTAAGTACTCCCAGTCTGTTATCTAATGTTGGCCTTCTAGCATTCCTTAATGATAAGTAAAATAAATATTAACCAAAAAGGACTTTAAATTGAGGTAACTCCCTCAGTGCCATAGTGGTGAGGCAAGGGCAACGGGTTTCCTGACTGCAGTCCTTCCCATTTTAAGGCAGTGCTATAGGAGTATGTTCAAAAAAGGCAGAGTTATATTTGGAATGTAAGTGTTTTCATTGGTAGAATATTACTAAGGCAGTTATTAAAGGATAGGATTTACAGTTAACTTTTAAATACCATTGGTTCAATTTACTTGAATTTTAGATACTGCTTATCCATAATTTCTTATTGGTCTTCAGGTAATGGATAACTTCTTAATACAAGTGACAGGAAAAAAACGTGTGGTACTCTTCAGTCCTCGAGATGCCCAGTATTTATATTTGTCAGGTACTTTTTTTTTTTTTTTTTTTGTTGGGACCCTCACCAGTGGTCAGGGATAGAACTGGCTCTGCGGAGGCTGCAGGCAGCCTCTCAACCCAGTGCTCAACCACTGCACCACCAGGGAAGGCCCTTATCAGGTACTTTTTAAAAAAGTTTGTATTTCTGGGCCTCCCGGTGGCACAACGGTAGAGCGCTGGGCTGTGAAGCTGCCCGCAATCTCTGCAGCGCTGGTTCGATCCCCGGCCACCGGATGAGGGTCCCACATGGTGCACAGACCTCTCCTGCAGCGCCCACTGCTCCCCTCAGTAGTGTATTTTGTCAGTCTGTCTGTTCTGCTCCATGCTCTGGCTCTGGTGAATTCTCTCACCCTCCTGTGCTTCTGACTGTACTCAGTGCTTGTATAAATAAATAAATCTTTAAAAAAAAAAGTTTGTATTTCTAAGTCTAGTTTATTCAGTTGATCTTTTTGAGAAATATCTTTATTCTCATAGAAAAACATTTTAGGACTTCTTCATAATTATGATATATTGTGTTCTCCATTGTGTACGTATGTCCATGTAATGATAGGTTAGATGAAGTATGAGGTTTTTAGATTTCCTTAATTATATTACATGCATGTCAGTGATCATAGATAAAGGGTGGGTCAATGAAAATTGTCTTAGGTTTCAGAAAAATAGTAATTGTTCTCACAGTGTGGGTATAGTAATTGTACAGAAAACAATACATTTTCAAATTTATTTTTGTGATTACTTTTTTTAAAATGTTAACTTTGCTTAATCTATATTATCCCTTTTTTTTTTTTAACTTCAGGCACTAAATCAGAAGTACTGAATATAGATAATCCAGACTTAGCTAAATATCCACTGTTTTCCAAGGCAAGAAGGTATGAATGTTTCCTTGAAGCTGGAGATATATTATTTATTCCTGGTAAGATTTCTAAACCTCAGAAATGTGCTGTTTATAATATCTGTACTCTGACACTCACCCACTATATGACTCAGTACCAAATATATGTTATATGTATCCTGTCTTACATGACATTATTTTATATACAACCATGTGTGTGATTAAAGCATGCTTAGGAAAATTCTTAAAAATTAAGTCTTGTTTTTCAAAGGCAGTTTATAATGTTGAGCTCTTAAGTTATTAAAGTACATCAAACAACACACTATTTTTGAGAAAAGATACCTTGGTTGTTTTTAATAATTACATTTCTAAAATACCTACGTATTTGAGAACGGTCATTTATTTCCCAAAAAAAATGGTATTTTTCAAAACCAAAACAGATCAGATTCTATTATTGAAATGTTATAACCATATTTTGTATGCATTATTTTTCTGCAGTCTAAACTAGTGTCATTTAATTTCTTTGTTTAATAGACATCCGTTCTTATTTAGTATTCAGTGATATAATTAATATCTAATTATTCAAAAGCTAATAACCTGAAGATTACAAAAAGCATAATTAAGATAAATGGGTCACATTAACCAATTCCATTTATATAGTTATATTTCCATAACTATATCAATATATTAATAATATTAGTAACTCCTTTCAGTAATAGGTAAGTTTAAAAAATCATAATAAAAACATCATAATCTCATTTGGGATTAGATTATAAATTCCTTGTTTTGTTCATCTTTGTATTCCTGAATGGCCTGATACAATGACCTTCACATAGGTATTTATAAAAATATGATATATTGACTTTTTATTCTCACATCCATTGAAAACAACCAGCACACTGGTCCTTAAGTCCATTTCTATTATTTAAGGTTTTGGGTATTGTATCTTCAGAGCATAGTTAAAAACTGTGCACTTCCCCCTTGTTCTATATACAACAACGTGCCCCCCCCCAATAAAAAAACAACAAAAACCCTGAACATTTGTATGTATTTTTAAGTAAAAGCAAACATTCCATCTTTGGATTTAAATTTAACAGAATGATTAGCATTTTCTTGGTATTATATTAAGTAAGGTTTAAAAAGATTCTGAAGGAAGTGTAGTTAAGATTTAAAATCTTACTTGTTTGAAAACAAGTTTTGCAAATCAAACCATTTTAGGCTTCTGTTTTTCCTAGAGCACTTCTAGGAGTTTTCACAAGAGTCAACATTTTTTTTTATGTGAATAGTTTTTCTTTTTCGTTATATGGTGGTGTTCCTTTAATATTCCTGTGGCCACTTATATTTTGGAAATGTTCAGATTCAACTGAAAACAAAGAAGTAACTTTCTAGTGAAAGTAAATATTTAATTAACTATAATATCATAAAGTTTACTTATCTTCTCAACCACAAAAATATTTGCTTTATTTTATATATTTTTTTTTTTTCCCATCATTAAGTTGGATTTTTATTAAATTATGGAGGAATACTGTATTTCACTGGTGCCAAATACTTAATTTCTGTCCATTGGATAGATTTTCATCTAAGTGTTGGGGAAGAAGATTCCATAGTAAGAAGATCTAAAAGGAGGGAACGTTCCTGGGCTCTGGTGGATCTTCCATCCAAGTTGTATTCACTAAGACATACCCATTCCATTTGGTCTTTGATCACTGGATCACACAGGCAAATGCTTAAAGGAGCTGACATACATAAATATAAGATGACTATCATTCCATTAGAAATATAAAACTGAAAAGGCTACAATGAATGCAAATTTGAGCAAGTTAGAAAACAAATTTCAGCTTGAACAGGAAGTCTTTGAAACAAGTACTGAACTGAATCAGAAAAGGTCAAAGATACTCCTAAAATAATTGAAATGTTCTGTGTCCAAAAAGTAACACTTTTGATGTGATTGGATGACTAAGGAAATGTAAACAAGTAACACAAAACACAACCCTAAATTACAGAACTACAAAACAAATATAACTTTATTATGTCCTTCAAGTTAAAAGGAAAAATTGCTATTTCCAAAGGTTTTAAACGTAAGGTTGTGCCATTGACACTTTAAATTGGTTGGCAATTCATAAAGTTAAAATGATTCTGTTAAAAGCTGGGAGTGTGCTAACGAAGGAATCTAGTTACAAGAATTATTTCTTACATTGGCTATATGCAATTCGTGATATTTCACTGACATTTTGGTTTTTTTTTTAACTGTACGTTTTATTTTTAACTTGTTTTTTTAAACTTTCTCCAGCTTTATGGTTCCATAATGTAATTTCTGAAGAGTTTGGAGTTGGAGTGAATGTCTTTTGGAAGCACCTTCCATCTGAATGCTATGATAAAACAGATACCTATGGAAACAAAGATCCTACAGCAGCATCAAGAGCTGCTCAAATTTTGGACAGAGCTTTAAAAACACTGGCTGAATTACCAGAGGAATACAGGGACTTCTATGCACGGCGAATGGTCTTACACATTCAGGACAAAGCTTACAGCAAAAACTTCGAGTAAATAATGAAGTAAATATGAAATATTAGCGTTAAGATTAAATTGACCTCAAATATTGGAAAAGTTGAATAATACGTAAATTGTTTTTTTTTTAAGATTTTTTGTGTTTAAATTATGAAAGAAATCAGTTTCAGATTTATAGATTAAAGGAATGTTTGCATAGTTTCTACTTAATATAGTGTTATGGTTGAAAAAATACAGTAACTGGGACCACTCTTTAATTTTGAGATACAAATAACTAAAAATCCAACTTTAAACATTAAACAATAAGAAAGTATATTAAATTATTATGCATGAAGTTTTTCTGCTAGGATGGGCTTCAGTATTTCTAATTTATAGTGCCGCCAAGAAGTAGAGGTTTTTTTCCTCCCCACTCTTCTCAATGGCAGCATTGGCATCATCCTAAGCTGGCTACTCTCATGGTCATGGGATGATTGCCAATAGCAGTTGGGGCCGTGTGCATCCTCATTTACATGCAGTGGAGGATTCAGGCTGGATTCCAGGAGCCCTGTCTTAATATAAGAAAGCTTTCCCAGAATTTTCCACCAAATCCTTGGGTCTCGTTGATTGAAAGTTGCTTAGATCTGTCCATCCCCAAGCCAGTCACTGGCACAGCGTAAGGAATAATCCTTAGGCCAGCTGGGTTTATGGAGCTGGAAGTAGAATCCTTCCTGAGGCACTTGAGATATGTATGGGTGCAGAATGGATAATTTTTTAAATCAGGGTTCTGATAAGAAAGGAAAAAGGGTAGGCAGCCAACAACGTCTACATTAATTTTTTGAACTTTTTAAAACATGCCTAAACCTTAACTTTGTAGATTTTGATTCAGTATGTTTGGGACTTGGTATAGGTATCAGTATGTGACAGAGCTCATAGGTTTTTTTGATGCATAATCAAGATTTGAGAACCACTGGATTAGATGACAGTCATTTGAATTAATTTTGTGATATATCCAAAACAAATTTTTAATCTGATCCTGGTTTTTCTTGGCACCCAATAGAAGTCAGGTCTATCCCTTTTAAGTTTTTGAATGTTAAAAAATACTCAAATCAGTTTTAACTGATACCTATAGCTAAACTTTAACCAAAAGTTTGCCTCCCACTAAAAACTTTTCCAACTAGCCTTTTTTAAAACAGAAAAAAAAAAATTTAAGAATGAATACATTAGACATCCCAGTGATGCTGTTGTCACTGAAGACAATGAGCTATTATATGTTGAACTGTGCCATTCTTTGTCTTGCACTTACTAATTACATTGCAATGCCATTGAAGAAAGACCAAATATATTCACTGAACCCAAATGTGCCCATCTAAAGCAACCTCAGTACATTAATTTGCTGCATGTTAATTACAGAGAAAAAAATTTTCTTGAAAACCCTTCACTCCTGTGTTTAGAGTTTTCAGCTATTAAGAGGAGGTTACAATAACTAAGGAAAATGTGAGGACTACAGTGAAGTTACTCAGGTCAACAAAAGTGAAAAACTGTGAGATCTAACCATTAGAGTTTGATTTTTGGTTACTTCTTAGTTTAAACAAAATATGTTATGAGTGATTCCTTATGGAAAGAAAAATCAAAACCCCTGTTTGTTTGAACAGTATAGTCAGCTTTTTAATAAGCTCTCCTTGGTTTTGCTTTTGAACCAGTTTGAGAATCCGTGCAAAATTGTATCCAGATCCACATAGAAATCTTAGAAGTAAAATTGGGATTACAGTTTGCCCAATGTATATATATATATATTTTTTTTATTTGGGAAGTAAACAAGATATCCTTAGCAAGGTTAATAAATCTTTATGAAGCTTATTTTCCTATCTTTAAGACATAACATATACTTTATAGGATTGCCTAAATACAAGGAGATAGTTTAACGGTAGAGACAGTTGGTAACTGGTACAAACTTCTATTTAATCATATTCTTTTGTGGAGAGATTTGAGATAACTCCTGTTGCAATGTTAAATTGTAACACCTGAAAAATCTAGAGATGAACCTTTTGGGAAGTTTTAAGATTATTTCCCTAGTTGTAACTTTTATGGGCCTGTTTGTTTTAAATACAATTTATTTTAATCTCTTCTACTTACAGGATTGAGACCAAATGAGATGTTTTTAATTATTATGTTATACAGTATGTAGTAGCTAGATCTCAGGAATTCCAAATCGTAGAATTTTATTGCTGAAAGGGATCTTAGCAATCAGGTCATCAAATTGCTTAAATAATGATCTGGGCTCACAGGGTTAAGTGACAGAAACTGGAATTACAGTTCTGACCAAATTAATAATTCTCCATTCTTTCTCATGTGCTACACATCTCAAATATTTCTGAATAGATGATAGTTATTCTCTGGTTAACTTGGGGGCTTGAACTGACACAAATGTTTTTCCTTTGCCAACAGCATTTCTTATTGTACTGCCTACTACACAGGCAAGGAATACAAGATAAGACCAATGAACAGGTAGACAGCAAAGTGCAATATATAATGGATATTGTGTAAAGAATGAGGCAGGGCTATATTTACTGGCAAAAAATCTTTATAAGGCATTAGATGAGAAAAAGGTTTGAAGCTGGGTTTATTTAGTGTGCTGTTATTTGTGCAAAACAAAGGTGTTCCCTAAGTAAGCATTTTTTCCTTTGTGCTGAATTATCTCTGAAAGGATTCACAAGAAACCAGTGATGATTATGGTTGGACAGATAGATGGGCGGACTGGAATTTGCCTTTGTGTATAATTTGAAAATAATATTTCACCTCTCTAATATCCTTTCAAAATAAATTTTAAAAACATGTAGAATTAGCTTTTGTAAGCATTAATATTTGTCTTGGTATATACTTACATGGAAATTCTGTTTATCCAATAATTAACTGCAAACATTTCCATAAAATACCAAATGGGTAATAAAAACGGCAACATCCTTTTGAATAGCAGCTATGTGCACCTGGGAAGAACCTTAGTAGGGATGCTTTTTTCTTCCTATCAAAATTTGCCAACAGATATGGAAGTTAAATCTAAGATGCTGACCAAAAAAATGCAGGAAGCTGGAATCTTGAGGGAGTTGGAACCACTGACTCCTTCCCCTAGTGCTAAAAATTACATGTAGTCAGGAGGAACTAACATTAGATTGGCACACATCTCTGGTGTTACCTGAAAGTCTTGCTTCCAGTATATAGGCCATGAAGGTTTGGGTGTCTTAAACACGCCTAGGTTGTATTTTATTTTTTAAAGTTCATTAACTGGGATACTAAAATGACCATCTGAAATGACTGTCCATCACTACCTAGGGCTGCTGGCCTCTTGGCATTTGTAAAGAGCAACCTATATTTACAAATGATTATCTTATCCCTCAAATATGTATCTTAAAGATCATTTTAGAAGAAATAATAAACGATAGCTTTTTTAGGAACACTTACTTTTGTGTCATGCCTTGCCTCTTAAGCCATAGTCTGTTGCACATTTCCATACTCACATGTTGGGTCTTTTATCTGTACTGTATCCTTAGCACTTAGACCTGCCTTGCCCTTGGTGAATGCTTAGATATTAACACATGAATAAAATGAAAAACATCACACATATTCTAACCGAGTCTCTAAGACAGCTACAGAATGATAAGCACAAAAAAAGGGAAGAACTTATTTTTGAAAGATTTTGTTTAGGAAATTCAACAGAAGAAATGGAAATAATGCAAATTTTGGTGGAGCACTAAATAAAAGAAGGGATGTATTATTTATAGAAAAGGTTCAAAGTTGCTCATTTAAAGAAACATGAACATTAATGAGAACATATAAACCCTAACTGGAAAAGTAGAAACAGCTTCCTTTCAAATAATAATCTGAAGTTAACAAATCAAATAACATAAAGCACATCCAAACACATTTCTATGGATTAATTTTAATACAACTGTACATTCATGCTGTGGTGGTAACAATGTTCACATTATTTGTATGACTACTTTTTTCAGTTACACAAACACAAAGGCACAATTCAAAAGGATACAATAACATTTACACTTGTTTTAAACACATGGGGGAAAGGACAAATTTGAACTATTAAAATATTTGAATATGGATCAACTTGAATGTCTCATTTTGATGCAATGGCATTTCCAGATGTCTAATGAGCTATGTTAACATCCATTGAGCATATAACAATTATTCCTAAGCAGTCACATGACCAGATAGCTAAAGAACCCAGATTTTTTTAATTCAGTTAAAAATCCTACTTTTTCCCATTTTAGTTAATCCTATAAAAATAAATGTCTTTCTCTCAGAACATTCAGTAACTCAACTAGATACACTTAAGTTTAACCAAGAATTATTAAACTGAAAAAAAAATGGTGGTGCTTTAAGACAAGGAAATCAATGCTAGAATCAGATTGACTTGTTTTCCTTGATGAGAATTTTTGGTCTCAAAATAGTTATTTAAAGAAACTGAAGCAATATAAAACTACTTTGTCCTTAAAAAATTAAGAGATACTATTCTGCAGTTTATAGAAGGAAGAATGTTACTTTTAAGTTTGAAACTTTCTCTTAAGTATGAATATTTGGAATGTATTTTTAGAGTCATTAAAATATAATTTTGGGAAGAAAGAATTAACTTTTTCTATAGTTTATAAATTTAAAGCCTGTGAGTTATTAAAATATTAAATATTAAAATTTTATTAAAATAAAAATGTCTTTTTTTCAGTCTTAAGGCATGATGTTATATCCCTGCTTAATTATTTCATAAACTGCAAAGTCTAATAAAAAAGTGATTACTCACCTTTTATCAGAGTTGTGTCAATGTCAGCTGCCATTAGATCTTGGTTTCTCAAAGTGTATTTCTCTTGGTCAAGGAAAATGGGCTGAACGAAACCTTACCCAAATTATGCAGCACGTTAAGTAAATTCAGTTTCTGGGCCAAAATTAAATAAATCATTCGTGTCTTCGAGTTTTCCCTCATAATTTTTCTTACAGTAATATAATTTTGCATTTTGGTTAAAGAGTTGTTTTGGCAGACAAAATTATGCTTCTGGTAAGATACTGACTTAGAGCTACAAAATCTGTCTCCTTTTTAAGAGAAAACTAAAACAAATAGAGCATTACGTATTTTACCTAAGTTGAGCTCTTTCAAATGATGAAAAGATTTTCAATCTGTAGTATATTTTTACCCTATAATACGTAATTACACTCAAAACTTTATATTTCCAAAAGAATTGGCTCTTGGCCAAGATTCAAGAAGCTCCAAAATGTCTTATCCAAAAGCTGTCCATTAAAAATTAAGTCACAGTGCTTAAATGTAATGTTTTTAAAAACCAAATTATACTATGGCATGTTCTTGAACATTTTGAACCAAATATATTTTGACTAGAGAAAAAAACACTTTGGCACATTAAAGAATGACTACATGAATTTACAAAGCAGAAGAGGCAGGGTTCAGTTATCCCAAAACTATAGAAAACATTAGCGTGACTTAGTTTTGTTTGAAGAAAAATAGTTACCACTCAAAAGTTTTGAATGCCAAAATAGCTAATTATTAAGAGTGTTATCAAAATTAGTCTAACATATTACTCAAAAATCAATTATTCTAAGGACTACTGTAATTTTTTTAAGGGTCTTATTTCTCACAGGATTACAGATCACCTTTTAGATTTCAAATGAACTAATTTTAATTCAGTACAAATTAAAAATGTTCACATTCACAAGCAAGGAAAACTACTACACATTACAATCAAATTTTAGGAATGTGTGCTTCCTCCCCTCCCCAAACTGACAACATATCTATGAATATATCTTATCTGAATTTATAATACTCATGTTTATGCTCTTCCACTGAACGAGTACATTAATATTTGTACAGTCTTCAAAGTACTTCATGGACCCTGAAGTGATTCTCTATGGAAGGAGCTTCTGTTACAAAATGAATTTGGCTAGTCACCTGCATGCCAAAATCTCCAAGTATCTGAACAAATTTCTTGTGTTCCTTTCCAATCCAAGATCTCATTGGATCACGAACTTGGTAAGGTGTTACGTGGGTGTGAACAATAATCCCTGTTTGTGCAAATTCTTTCAAGACTTCTGGATAAGTAACCCACGTATTGCTTCCTCCAGAATGACCGCCATCAAGCCAGTACATTGTTCTTATGCTTTTGATAAAAGCATCTATGTCTTTATCTTTCTTGGCTTCTTTCAATTCAAAGAGCAACTGATTCAAAACAACACAACCTTTACTGAATCCAATCAAAGTAAAAGATGCACCTTTTAGCGATGGTGGATAAAAAGTCATGACAGACTCATCAAATTTTTCGCAGGTCCTCTCTTTTTCTCCCTGGCAACCATTAGCTGCATGAGAAGAACTGGATCTACAGTTCGATGCTTTAGAGTCCTTATTCAAATCTTTCACATTCTTCTTTGATAGTAAACTGTCCTGACTTAAGTTAAAAGCATTAACTAATAACATATAAAGGTGCTTGAAGGCTCCAAAGTCAGTACTGTGTTCTGGAGCACCAAACATATTGCTTTTTACAAAATTGTCATAGCAGCTGAATTTATGCAAGTGCATCCGAGAACACTTTATCACCCAAATATAACTGTTGGGGAAGTGGCAGGCTAAAACAGTGGCAACATTTTCTAGACTCCACTTTTCCCACTGATAATTTTCAGGGTGACGAGTCATAATTTCATGGTAATTCTGAAAGAAAAGAAGGATAAAATAAGCATTAAATACACATTTATATAAATTTTCTACAAAAATGTTCATTTTTATTGGGGGATATTATAGTGTCCTATGGTTAATGCACCAGATGTGAACATTATAAATATATCATTACTTCTTTTTTTTTTTTTTTTTTAAAGATTTATCTATCTATTTATACATACAAGCACTGGGTACAGTCAGAAGTGCGGGAGGGTGAGAGAACCCACCAGAGCCAGAGCGGGGAGCAGAGCAGGCAGAAGGACTGAAGTACACTGCTGAGGGGAGCAGCGGGCGGCAGGAGAGGTCTGCGCGCCATGTGGGACCCTCCTCTGGTGGCCGGGGAGCAGCCAGGGATCAGCCGGGGATCGAACTGGCGCCGCAGAGGCTGCGGGCAGCTTCGCAACCCAGCGCTCAACCGCTGCGCCACCGGGGAGGCCCAAATACATCATTACTTTCTAGTTATAAGATTTTGATTCTGGTTATAAGATTTCTTTAGTTTTAGCCTCAAACCCATCAAAAGACAGGGTTATGAGATATAACTATACTTAGCACAGTAGGAATTTAAAAAACAAAACATTTACAAGGATTAATATGTTTGACAGATTTTATTTAGTAGACATATGACCTATTATTCCTAACATATTAACTAACTGAAAATATGAATTTGGTTTATTAAACAGACACCAAAAAAGATTTTTAAAATATTTTCCTACCAAAGTTGCCATCCTGCACCCCTCTTTGGATTACTGTAGCGACCTGAACACTATGTTTGATTTCAGTTTTGGTATTACAAATAAATGCAATGAACAATTATAGAAAAATCTTTGTATACATCTGTGATAACATCCTTAAAAATAAATTACTAGGGCCTCCCCGGTGGCGCAGCGGTTGAGCGCTGGGTTGCGAAGCTGCCCACGGCCTCTGCGGCACCAGTTCGATCCCCGGCTGCTCCCTGGCCACCGGAGGAGGGTCCCACATGGCGCGCAGACCTCTCCTGCCGCCCGCTGCTCCCCTCAGCAGTGTACTTCAGTCCTTCTGCCTGCTCTGCTCCCCGCTCTGGCTCTGGTGAATTCTCTCACCCTCCCGTGCTTCTGACATAAATAAATAAATGAATAAAATACGTGCCTCTTAAAAAAAAAAAATTTAAAAAAATAAAAAAAAAAATAAATAAATTACTAGATGATGGAAAAACTAGGTCAAAGAATATTCATAATTTAAAGTTGATCATATAGATTACAATACTATGTCTTCCGGTGAGGTATATGTATATTTCCATTTTATCTTAGTTAAATTTCAGAGACACAGGATAACTTATTTTAATTTGAATTTATTGAAAATCTGAACAAAGTTAAAATTTTAACTCTCCAATAATCTAACCTCTCTGGCACCTATTTATTAGCCATCTGGATTTCTATTTATGTCTACTCATTTCTCTTGCCCTTTTAATTTGTTCTTACTTATAAACATTCAATGTATAACTTTTTTTTTAAATAATGTGCTTTTCTTTTTTTTTTTAAGATTTATTTATTTTATTTATATAAGCACCTAGGCACAGTCAGAAGCGCGGGAGGGTGAGAGAATTCACCAGAGCCAGAGCAGGGAGCAGAGCAGGCAGAAGGACCGAAGTACACTGCTGAGGGGAGCAGCGGGCGGCAGGAGAGGCCTGCGCGCCATGTGGGACCCTCCTCAGGTGGCCGGGGAGCAGCTGGGGATCGAACCGGCGCTGCGGAGGCTGCGGGCAGCTTCACAACCCAGCGCTCAACTGCTGCGCCACCGGGGAGGCCCTCAATGTATAACTTTTTATATAGGTGCTAGGACAAACATAAAAGCTTTGTGTTCCTTTAATTTTCAATCATAGTAGCTTTTCTTTAAAAGAGGGAAAGTTGGGCCTCCCTGGTGGCTCAAGAGGTTAAGTACTACACTGTGGAGCAATCCACAGCCTCTACACCACGAGTTCGATCCCCTGCCTGCCAGGGAGCAATCCACATGGCGCAGCAGACCTCTCCTGTCTCACCCGCTGCTCCCCTCAGCAGTGTATCTCAGTCTGCCTGTTCTGTTCCCCACTGTCTCTGGTGAATCCTCTCACCTGCACCCCAGCTCTTCTATGTATAAATAAATAAATCTTTAAAAAAAAAAAAGAGGGAAAGTCAATGAAATTTATTACTTACTGGTAAGTAATATTTATTACTTACTGATACTTACTGATTGAATATGAGTCAGAACAAACTAAACCCCTGACCACATGGAGCTCACATTCTAGTGGAGAGATATATAATAAAAAACTCCATAAGTAAGTAAGCTATATAGTGAACCACCCATAAAATTTTCCAATAGCTACATTCAAAAAGTAAAAAGTTAACAGGTAAAATTATGTTTAACAATGTATTGAGTCTGATATATTCAAAATGCTCATTTGAAGACACAGCCAATATTTAAAAGAACTAGCTAGAGACAATTTCTTTTTTTTTTTTAACTAAATCTTTGAAATCCAGTGGGTATTTTACACTCAAAGCACATCTCAAATTAAATTTCACTGGAAATATTTGATCTGAATTTAGATTTCATAAAATTTGAAAAAGTATATTCAAGCTATTCAAATATACTTAAAAGTTTTCCACAAACAGAAGTGAATCTCAGATCTTACATTTCAATTGAAAGTTAAATAAAATTAAAAATTTAGTTCCTCAACTAGACTAACATTTTAACAAGCGCCACAGTGGCTAGTGGTTGGGCAGAACAAACCACTAGCTGGTGGTAAGTACAAATAGTGCTTAAGAAATAAAGCAGGGGAAAGTGCAAGATTTTGAAGCGGGTACAAGATTTAAAATACAGGGTGGTCGGGCCTCCCCGGTGGCGCAGCGGTTGAGCACTGGGTTGCGAAGCTGCCCGCGGCCTCTGCGGCGCCGGTTCGATCCCCGGCTGCTCCCCGGCCACCTGAGGAGGGTCCCACATGGTGCGCAGACCTCTCCTGCTGCCCGCTGCTCCCCTCAGCAGTGTACTTCGGTCCTTCTGCCTGCTCTGCTCCCTACTCTGGCTCTGGTGAATTCTTTCACCCTCCCGTGCTTCTGACTGTACCCAGTGCATGTATAAACAAAACAAACAAACAAATAAATAAATAAACATGCCTCTATTAAAAAAAAAAAATCTTAAAAAAAAAAAAATACAGGGTGGTCTACAACAGGGTTATAGTTAAGAACTTGAAATAACTGAGGCAGTGAGTCTTGTGGATATTTCCAGCAAAGGGCACTGGACTGGGAAGCAAGCTTGGTATAACTAAGATAAAGCAATGAGGCCGTGTGGCTCCAGTGGGGTGGACACAGAGCAAAAAGAACCAGGGAGGTTAGAGAGATTATTGGAGAGGAGAGACGCTGATCACACCTTGTAAGATACCACGAGGATTCAGCTTTTGCTTAGGTTTAGAGCAGAGCAATGACATAACCTAACATTTTGAAAGGATTGTTATGGCTTCTATGTGTAAAGGAGACACAGTTAGAGCAGGGCGACCAGTAAAAGGCTACTGAAGCATAATCAAGAGAGGAGATGGCTTGAATCAGAGTGAAGGGGGTAAGAAGAGGTCAGGTTCTGAATATAATTTGAAGGTATCAACAGGATTTGCTGACAGATTAGATATAGAATGTGAAAGAAATAAAGTTGTGATTTTTCCTTATTTCTAACAACCACAAATTATATGTATTGAAGTTTTAAATGCACATCTCTTTTGACCTGGAATTACCCTTCTAGGAATTTATCTTGTTGATGTACTTGCATACATGTGCAAATAAGGTTATTTCTGCTTCAAAACAATGATGAAGCTCTATGGGTTTTTCATAGGGGCTGTAAAATAAGCCCCCCCCCCCAAAAAGAAAAAAACTAAAAAACAAAACCTGTATACTATGATACCATTTCTTTAAAAAGCTTGCATCAGCATAGAATGCCTGTTACAATATATAAATCAAACAGTGATAGCCTTAGGGTAAAGTAAATGAGACTGGAGTGAGTGGGGAGAAAAGGAGACTTATTTTTCTTTTCTTTTTATTTTAAACAATCTTTTTTTAGTGTGGTACTCTTAGTTTATATCCTTATAAATTTTTTCACCTCAGGTGGGGTCACTTTAGTTCTCCCACCATCAAAACACCCATATTCCTCCACCGTAGTCCACTGTGCTCTAAAACTGAAACTAATAAAAGTAAGTAATCCTCACCACAAAAATTTAGTCTAATTATAAAGGCATAAGATAGAACAATTATCTATAAAACCACCAACCAGTAATAATCATTATTAAAATTTGGTATCTAATTAGGCTACTTTTCTTCAGTATACACACACACACGTAAGTATGTAGATGAGAGCATGTTTTTACCTCTCCTTCGACAAGTTTATACATAGTTTTTTCACTTAAAAATATAGGCATAATTCCATATCAATAAATAGATTTGCATCATAATTTTTTTAGACTCCATCAGAAAGATTAACATCAATTTACACTGCCACTGCAAGTATACAAGAGTCCTGTTTTCTCACATCCTCATCCATTAGCATTATGAAAAAAAATCTATGCCACTATGATAAAATGTCTTACTTTTCAATTAATATGAATGTTTTGGTTTCTAATCAGATTGACTATGTTTCTGTGCTAAATGGCAGTTTTCATTTTTTTTTTTGTTAATTTTCTGCTCATGCCCTTTGATAATTTTCATAATAGGTTATCCAGTTCTTCTTAAAGAGTTTTTACCTCATTAATATTAATGGTTTGTCATATATGTTAAAAATATTTATTCCCAGAGACTGTCAATTAACTTTTTATGGATTCTGACATCGCCTTCTGTATAGTCTGATTTGTGAGATATAAAATTATCACAGCTTAGATCTGTAAGGATTCATCTAAATCCTTTTTATAGCTAAGGAAACTGAGGTTCTAGAAACTATGTAGTTATTTATACTATAGTTATTTAGTTAATGAGACAAAATGAGTTCAAGATTTTATGACTCTGCTT